AAGAATACTACTCAGAAGACTAATACGATTATTATTAATATTAAGAACAACAAAAAACACAATATTTGACTACTGCTAGTAATGCTGACAGTAAGAGCAAGAAGAGCACGACTAACACTAGCAAGTCTCCTAAGACGAATTATAGACATATTAAGAATAACACTGATAACAATCACACGTAGAAGAGCAATACAACGAATATTAGTAATACTACTAACAATACTAGTACGACTCAGAATTATCATAATAACAATCATCATATTACCATGACTTAGCAGAGTAATGAAACCATAGAGAAGCCCCGATCATAACATTTTTCAGGGCTTTGGAGATATAGGGCTATAGGGCTTTAGGGCCATCGGCTATAGGGCTATAGGGCTATTGGGCTATAGGGCTATACGGCTACAGGGCTATTGGGCTAATGTCCATATGGCAATAGGGCTATAGGGCTATAGGGCTATAAGGCACCCTGTAGGGCTATAGGGCTATAGGGCGCCCGCGCACCCGGGACAATTCCCGGCGCACCTCACCTAGCCTTCTGAATCCGTTAGGACCCCTACAGAGGCCAGCTCTGATTTGGGGATCGAAGACGAATAAGAAGACGAAACATTATAAGCATACGATGGAAACGAATGAGACGAAATATAGTAACACTAATAATGTACTACTAGTAGTATTATTAATAATACGAATAGTACTACTCATAATCATACGAATGCTACTCCTACCACAACAACACCAACTACTACTACTACTACTACTACTACTACTACTACTACTACTACTACTACTACTACTACTACTACTACTACTACTACTACCATTATTACTACTACTACTACTGCTACTACTACTACTACTACTATTACTATTACTACTACTACTGCTGCTACTACTACTAATAGTTCTAATCATACTAAGAAATATGAATATTACTAATACTAGAATGATGAGGATGAGGGTGATGATGATGATGATGAGGAGGAGGAGGAGGAATACTACTACTACTACTACTACTACTACTACTAATACTACTACTACTACTAATAATAATAATAATAATATACTAGTAAGAATAATAATAGTAGTAGTAGTAATCATCATGATAAGAATAATAATTATATTAATAATAATAATACTAATAATAATATTAATAATAATACTAATACTACTAATCCTAATACTACTACTAATACTACTACTACTAATAATAATAATCCTAATAATAATAATAATCGTACAAGGAGGAGGAGGAGGAGGAGGAGGAGGAGGAGGAGGAGGAGGCGGCACAAGAGGGCTAGAGGGGTGAGGAGGAGGAGGGGGAAGGAGGAGGCGGGGAGAGGGGGAGGGGATCGATGGAGAATGGGCTGGGCTGCGCGGAGGCAGGGCTGGGCCGCGAGGCGCGAGATTTACTCTCACCCGATGTTATCCTCGCCCTGGCTTCGTCTTAGCTGGGGAGCTCGGGCGGGAGGGCTGCGGGCGCAGGAGCTGGGGCAGATCCGCGGCCGCGTCTCCATCCCGCCGAAGTTCACCCACGAGCTGCCGCCCTCCACGGGCGGCCTGAGCGCGATCAGGGTGCTGCTCGACGGCGGCGCCCGCTCGGCGCTGCCCACGACCGACGGGCACTTCCTGATCACGGGCGTGACGCCAGGCCCGCACCTGCTGCAGGTTCGGGGATTGCTGAAGCTGCACTTGGCCCAAGGTGCCCCAGCTTTTCGCTTTACTTTGGAGCCCCTGGGGCCATCTGGGCCTCGTGCTGGGTGCTCTGGGGCCCTTGGTGGCCTCCTTGGGAATCCTGGGGGCACCTTACGCCCGACAGGTGGCGCACCCCCGCCTCATCTTCGACCCTGTCCGCGTAGAGGCGCAGGAGTCGGGGGACGGCGCCATGAAGATGTCGGGGTACATCGCCAGCTTCGAGCACGGCAGGGGGAACAAGCTGAAATACCCGCTGATGCTCCAGCCTTCTGGAAGCAGCAGCTACCTCGAAAAGCGCGAGGACTTCGACATCCTGTCGGTGTTCAAGAGCCCCATGACCTTGATGATGCTCTTCTCGTGCGGGGCCATGTTCCTCCTGCCCAAGCTGCAGCCCATGCTGGACGAGGAGAAGGAGAGGAACCGCCTGGAGAAGGAGGGCGAGGAGCCGGAGAAGCTGAAGTGAGGAGGCCACAGGCGCCACCTCACCCCCCCGGCGTCTCCGCCCATCCCCCCCGCCTCCTCACATCTTCCGCGGCGGTGCGGCGCCCAGCTCCACGTCCACCCCACCTGCTGCAGCTGCTGCCTGCCTCCTGCCTCCACCTCGCCTCCCCCCCTCCTCCACCTCGCTCTTCGTAGCCTCCACCCCGCCGACCTCCTCGACCCCAGCCCAGGGACCGGTGCTTCGTCCCCTCCCTGGAGGCCCCAGCTCTGGACAGCTTGCATTCGCGATCTGTTCGTGGTGCCAGGAGGTCTGGGATCCCTCGGTCTACGTCCCGCGCTCCCCCTCGTCTTTCTCTCCTCTCGGGGCCGCTGGCTGGACCCGCCTCCACTCGGAAGTCCCAGAGGACGGTGTGGTGACCACACCGTCGTGTCAGCCGGGGGGGACTTGGGGGGTGGCCGCACGATCTTGGGACTTGGGTCGTTCTCCGAGGACGCCTCGGGCGACGGGGGCCCCCGAGGCCCCAAAACGGTGCGGTGACGGACCGTGCGGTGAGTTCTTCGGGGATTTTGAGGTCGCCGCACGAGGTCACCGCACGGTCTGCTACCAGGCGGTTTTGAGGCTCCCATCCATCCCCGCCCATTTCCCCCCGTTCGGAGGCCACATGCGAACCCTACCCCACCACCCCGCGGTTTCTGAGGGTGGAGATGGGGTCCCCTTCGCTCGGGGGGTCTCGAGCGAAGCGAGACCCTCCCCCCCTCTAGAAAATCGTGGGGTGGTGAGGTGGGGCTCGCCTGTGGCCTCCTGCCCGTCCTCCCCGCTCGTCCTGCCTCCCTGGGCGTCGGGCGCTCCGACCGTGTCGGTACTCCAGATTTCGTAATAAAAGGGAGGGGGTCTGGACCCTCCAAGACAAGCCGTTTCAGACCTCCCCCGTGGGAGAACCCTCCAAAACATCGTCCCCAGACCCCCCAGGCCCTCCAGGATAGCCTGGAAGAGACCCCCCCCGAAATGAGACCCCCCTCCCTTAATCACGAAATCTGGAGTACGCGGGTCCCCCGCGGACCTCTCGACCTCTTCCCCCCATGGCCTGCTCGCCGTCCCCGGCCGTGCCCGAAGACGGCCCCGAGGCCGCCCGAAGCCGGCCTCCAGGGGCCCAAGGACGGCGACAGCCCAGGCAGAAACAGGAGGAGGAACAATGATAAAATACTCAGAATAATAACAATACTAGTACTAGTAATAATAATAATGCTGATGCGAATGCGCTAATACTGAGAATATGGATAATAGTACGGATAAGAAGAATAATGCGAAGGAATCGCATAATCACACTAACAATAATAACACACTACTAACAACAAACATACACAAGCAAACGAAGCTTACTACGAATAGTGAGAATAATACTAGTAAGAAACATAAGGCTAACGGTACTGCTACTACTAACCATAGTGTTAACAAACATAATGCTAATACTAGTATTAAAACTACGACGCATAATACTACCACTAAGAAGAAGAGGAGGAGGTGGAGGAGGAGGAGGAACACTAATACAAAACTAAGAATAATAACAATATTATGAATACTACGAGTAATAATAATCATAAGATGAGTGAGCATAATACTGACAATAATAAGAATACTGATACTAAGGAACATCACAATCATACTACCAAGAATAAAGCCATACGAATCATAAGCAGACAAAGCAAGCTCAACTTAACAATGATAATACTAATACAAATAGCAACAAGACGAACAGTAATGCTAATACAGATACTATAGATGAATATTAATAACAAGAATGATACTACACATGCTAATATTAGTACTGATACTAATAACAATTATAAGAGGAGGAGGAGGAGGAGGAGGAGGAGGAGGAGGAGGAGGAGAAGGAGGAGGAGGAGGAGGAGGAGGAGGAGGAGGAAGAGGAGGCCAAGGATGCGCCGGATGTCTGGGTCCGCGGGGCCGAGCATCGATCTGTGGACCCACCCCAGCGTTCTGGGCAGAATTTTGAGGGGATCGGAATCCAGGCGCGGCGACGGGATCGCCCCAGGAAGCCCAGAAGAGGCAGCATAAACAAGGATTCCTCGAACCTCGAACTTCGAAAATCCGTCTCTCCTCCGTCTTGATTTCTGATTCCTGATGGCGTGAGACTCCGTCGGATGCCGCCCCCCCCCCCGCCCACACACAAGGGCCGTTGCCCCTGAGAGGGTGTCGAAAAAGCCAGAGCACGCCGTAGAGAAAAGTAAGACGCGGCGCAGCATGCGGCGTGCGCGGGCTGCTGCTTCCCTCCACCGTCCCACCCCTCCTCTATCTTCCCCCCTTCGAGGGAGGGAGGGAGGGAGGAGGAGGGAGGGAGGGGAGGAGGAGAAAGAGGAGGAGGAGGAGGAGGAGGAGGAGGGGTGGGGAGGAGGAGGGGGAGGACCCCTGCCCGCCCGTTGCCTGGCCCTCGCCGCTCCCCCTCTCCCTCCGTGTGGCCTGCCCCCCCCCCCCCCTCCTCGCCTCCTCTCCTCCTCCTCCTACTCCTCCTCTCATCCTCCTCCTCCTTCCTCCTCCTCCTTCCCTCCTCCTCCTCCTGGCGCCTGGGCCTCGCGCCCCCCTTTTTTTGCCGGTCTCCAGGCCTGCGGTGCTCGGCTCGTCCCTCTCCCGTCCAAGGTGGTGTCATCTCCCCCCCCCCCGCCCTTGCCCTCCGCCCTCCGCCCTCAGCCGCCCTTGCACTCTCCAAAGCTTCCCAATCCCCCCCCCCCCGTCCCCCCCCCCTCAAGAGCTCGCAAGCAAGCAGAGCTGGACAAGACTAAGTGGGTGGAAGAACAGCTGCGCACCGGAGGGTGGAAGAGCATTCAGACATACAGGACGCCGAAACAGCGCGCGAACGGCAAGCTGAAAGACAGTTGTGGGAATCTTGGAGAGAGCGAGAAATGGTCCGACACTATGGTCAATAACCTGGAACGGATGCAGTGGCATGTGCGTCAGGCTTGTATCTGTGACGGCCCCCAGATCGGAAATTAGCTGCCCGTGCGCACAGAAAACATGTCTATTTCTGTTGCGGAAGTAGGCGCCGTTGTTAAGAAGTTCAAGAGCTGCGAAGCAAACAGGCCAGACGAAATCCAGGGGGAGTTCTGGCAGGCGGTGGCGGAGACCGCCGACGGACTGCGGTGGCTCACAGACCTCTGCAACGCGTGCTGGTTTAGGGGCGAGACCCCGCGACACTGGCACACGGCCAAGGTCGCATCTGTGTGCAAGAAAGGAAGCGTAGAAGAAGGCGACCATGATAGCCCAATGCGTTTGGTTTGTGCTGCATACAAGATTTTCACAAGTGTGATGCTACAAAGGCTGGAAGCGGCCGCCGAACAGCAGTTGACTGCCACGCAGCTGGGCTTCAGGTCAGGCAGAAGCGCGCAAGACGCGATCCACGCAGTAAGACGCCGCATTGATCAGGAACTCGCGGCTCAACGAGGGCGCGCTGGTTTTCTTGCGCTGGATTGGAATAAGGCGTTTTGCCATCAACGTACGCACACTGATCAAGGCGTTGGGCCGGTTCAGTCTGCCTGGGCACTTCCTGATTTTGATTTGAATTCAGACATAACGTTCTGGGTTATTGGGCTTGCTGACGCTTCAAAGGAGAGGGAGCATCGATTTTGCATGTCGCAAGGTGGCTCGCTCTCGCCGTTCTTACTCGTCATGCTTATGGCGGTCATTTTTACGACGCTACGAAACACATTTCGGATTCAGCCCGGCAGCTACTTCATTCTGGTGCCTTTGATGTTCTGTTGCACGCGGACGACACTCTGTTGCTCGGTGCGGCTATGTTGCTGGACAGCATCGCTGATGCTGGTGCCCAGTACGGCATGTCGCTGCACTGGCCAAAGCTCCAGCTGATATCAGTGGGTCAGAACTACAACCTTCGATCGCCGAGGGGAGACGCCATCCCCATCAATGACGCAATGGGTTACCTCGGCGCCGCTATCCGTTCCGATGGAAGCGCGGGCTCGGAGATGCATCGCACAAGTTGGTATGCCTGGATCGAGTGTTGCAAACTGCACATTTTTCTAGAAGAGAACCGCTTTGCCAAAAGAGAGAGAGAGAGAGAGACAGAGAGAGAGAGAGATAGAAAGAGAGAGAGAGAGAACAAAAGCAACAAACAAAAACTAGAAGTGTTTGAAGCTGTCATTGTGGGTGTTTTGTTTTGCGGATTGAACTCCGCGTGGCTTCGGGCAGCTGGCGTCCGCCGACAGAACGGGTTCTACTGCAGGTGCTTATGAGTGATCTTACGGATGCCGCCATTTTAATTTTCTGTTTCCAGAGTGTCCAGCGATGAGGTCCTCGACGAGGCGCGGCAGAAGCCAATGTCGAACAAGCTCCTGAAGCAAGTATCATTGCTTTACGGCAGGGTGGTGAGAGCACTGGGAGGTGATGAACTGCGCAAAAAAGGTCTCCATTCCGGGCACGATGATATCTATGGCGCGGGAATATGGCTGGAAGGCGGGGTGCCCGCGGAAGGAGTGGCTAAGCCAAGTCGCAGAGCACGTTGCTATGGTTGAGGGTAACATCTACCATCAAGCCGAGTGGAGGGCTGGAGCGTCCACGCGCCTTCGGCGTTTGATCAGTATTGTTTGTTTGTTTGTTTGTTTGTTTGTTTGTTTTTTTTTTGTGTGTGTGTGTGTGTGTTTCCGCTCCCTCTCCCACCGTGGCCATTGTGGCTCGAGGTCCGAGCCGTGGCCGCAGCCGCGTTGCCCCCTTCCGCGCGCGCGCGCTATCTTTTCCAGCGCCGGCCCCGCGCGTCGCGAGCTCGACGGCGACCGCGTCGCGCGGGCGTGGAGGGGCATGGGGGGGTCTGATTTTTTGGGGTCTGACTTGAGCTGTCTTGGAGGATTCCAGCGGGTCTGGGCAGGAGGCCGCCGTTTCGTGGCGGGTCTGCGGGGAGGTCTAAAACTGCTCGTCTGGGAGGGTTGTGACCCCCATCCCTTGTTTTGCGAAATTTGGGGCGCGGTCTGCCTCCGCCCCGGCCGCCGCGGTCGCCCGCGGCGCTGCCGCCCCCCCTGGTTCGTCCTGTTCCAGGCCCACCCGCGCTATCCGCCGCCGCCTCCTCCGCCCGGGCGTCTCGCCGTGGCCCTTCCTGCTGCTGTGCCTGTCCCGCGCGCGCAGGGCGCCCGGCATCTTGGCGCCCTCTCGGCGTCGCCCCGCCGAGCTCGCAGCGCGCGTGCCGCCGCCCCCCCGGGGGGCGACGCGCGCCGAGAACTCATGTGGTATATGCGAGTCGTGGCGGGCGTATCTTGGCCGCGCCGTTCGGGGGGCGGCGCGCCGCAATGTGGGCGGCGTGCAATGTGTTCGGGCCGGGCGCGCGCCTCTAAGGGGGACGTATAGTGCCCGTATGTCTCTGTGCGCCCCATCCTTGCGCCGCCCCCGCCCCCGCCCGAGCGCGCGCGGGTGGCGGCCTCGTTTGCGGCGGGGCCCAGTGGCGCAGTGGATGTTCGAGGTGCAGGTCTAGCGGCCGCGCGGCTCGCGTCCATGCTAGTGCTGCCTCCGCCGGGGGATTTGGGTTTGGTCGGCGCTGTGGGCTGCGCTGTCAAGGTTTCGGTGTTCCACCTCTGAGTGTTGCTGACGAACATGACGGCGTCGCCGTCTCAGTCTATGGAAGCGCTTGTCTTCTTGTCGGACCGTCAGTGACGCTCTTGAGAGCCCGCGCGGCGTGGCGGGCCTCGATCTTGCGCCCGCCCCCATGGGCCGCCCCCTGCCCCCCCCGACGCGCGCTCGCTCTTCTTCGGAGGGCGAGGCTGGGCGCCGCGGCGGATCGGCCGTCCGGCGGGCTGGCCAGCTGGCAAGTAGCTCGCTCCGCCGACGCGTAGCTTCATCGCTTCTTTCGGCCCCGCGCCCCCCTGCGCCCGCCCCGCGGGGCGCCCCCGATCGCGCTCCAGATCCCCTTTGTTTGACGAGCGAGGCCGACGGGCGCCGCCGCGCAGAGGCAGCGGCCCAGGGATTGTCTCATCCTCGCGAGCACTGGTTGCACGACAGCCACTTTGCCATTGCGAGGGCTCTCCGGGAGTTGTCGAAGATGACGCCGGCGCCTGCCTTCGGGCCAGGCGGGCAGGGCCCACCTGCGAAGAAGCTGTTTAAAGCGGCTCACTTCCCGCGCGCGCGCGTCCTCCACTGCCCGCTGGCGAGCTCTCGCCCCCGAGGCGTTTCGGCGCGACTGGCCGCGACGACGAGACTCGGGAGATCCTGGCGCAGGTGCCTCAGACGCAGTTCGCCCTCCCAGCTGCGAGACGTGCGCCGGTAGATGATGGCCTGGTTTCATGGCCTCAAGCGCCTGCGCAACCGGCCCCCGGAGCGCCGCCGCTGCGGGTTAATCGCGCGCGATGGCTGTTGGCGCAGCGCCAGGATGTGCAAGGCTCGCGCGCGACAGAAATCAGCGCCAGTCTCGCTGGGTTTAATTTGCGCTCCCGCGCGAGAAGGATGCTTGGATTGCTGCGTTCGGTCGTCGATCTCTGGCGTATCCTGACCTCTTCCCCGCGCCCGATAGCAAGGGCAGCTAATCGCTGTCATGCGTTGCCCAGGGACTGTTCATTCTGTGCTGGCCTCGTCGACCGCTGCCCTCTCGTTTCTGGGGCCTCGTCTTGGTTTGCTGTCGGTCAATGCAGGTTCTCTGCCTGCGGGCCTTCCCCTGCGCCCCCCCCCCTTTGCTCTGCGTTCGCGCTGTGCAGTTTTTCTCTTTCCTTGCGCAGTTGCCTTCGGTCTGCGCTGACAGGACTGCGCGTTCGATCAGACAGTGCGTGTTCGAGTTTGTCCGTCGTTGACATCTGCCATTTTATTGCTTCAGGATTTTGCTGCTCGATGCCAGCATTGGATGTCTGTTCCTGCAGCGTGCCCGCGTCCGCCTTTCAGCCAGGGGCTTCCAGTCTGCCTGCTCTCCCCTCTGGGTCTCCCACCTTGTTCCCGTGAGCTCCTGGTCTCGTGTCGCTCTGGCTCGTGGCCTTGTTCGCTTAGTCCCGATCTGGTGCGCGTTTTCACCTCTTGTGGCTTAGCGCTGATGGATCATCTCTGCATTGCAGGATGCTGTCCTTATCTGCTGTTTATTCAGCGTCACCATTCGACTTGGCCGCTTGTCTCCATATTGTTGGATTCGGACCCTCTTGTCAGGCTGCAGTTGCTGCGCCTGCCTCTTCCCCCCCGCGTCTTCCTCTGCTGCCGGCTGGGCTGGCGCGCGCCCGTTCGGGCTTTCGAGCTTCTCATGCCTCTTCGCTCGTTGGCTCAATATACCGGCTTGTTTTTGTATCAGATTTGAAGTGTGCCTCTTCCAATCGCAGCAGCGGCCGCCTTTCGGCCTAAGAGTGTCGTCGCACTTTAGTTCTGCTCATCAGCCTGGGTCACGGGCGTTCGCCTGCAGGGTTTTTCTCAAGTTACAACAGGCGTCTTGTCGTCTTTTGCCGATGCCAATGCCCGACTCTCCCCCCTCCTTCCGTCCTCCTCGCTTCCTCCTCCTTTGTCCCCTTTCCCTCCTCCTTTCTCCCCCTTCTCCCTGCCCCAGACCTCCGACGTCACATTTTTGTTCGCAACGTGGTTCCCCAGAGCATTGGACCCTGTCGAGGGACCAGGTTTTCGTCCCGGGTCGTTTTGGGACGGCCCTGCGGCCGATCAGGGGTTTTTCACTTTTGGCGCAGCGTTGCCAACACCTTCCCGTTGTGTTTTCTCGCGACGCGAGCAGGCCAGGGCCCCCCGGGGGTCAGAACGTCGATCCCCAGACCCGCTCAGGGGCGTTGTGGTCAGGAGTTCCAGGCGCACCCAACCGCGGCGACGATGACCCCCTCCCCTAGAGGCCCCCAAGAGGACGAGCAGAGATACACCCATCAGCAGTCTTACCAACAA